TCAAAGCCTACTGTGATCGATAAATTCACTGTCAAACCATCAATTTGGCTATAGAATGATAATAGGGCAAATATCGATTGTGATAACATGATTTAAGAATGCTTGGAATTTGGACATATCAAGGTATCATCGAGGTCTACATGCCATTGCCAAACCATATCTAGGATGTAATTAATTGTGTTTATAATTTGTTATAACTTTTCTAGGAACACTGCTAAACCATAAATTGGAATACTTGTCCATGATCTAAGGATGGCCAAAATTTGGATAGCTTGATATATCAGAAAGACAAAGAATTTCATCTATTCCTATATTAGTCAGTCCCAGCTTATTTTTTTATAGTCATACCAAGTATTAGGCAACTTGCCTGATACCAACTTAGAGAGACGTTAAGCCACTTAATTTTTTATTGATATTGTGGTTCGACATCTTTAAAAAATTGTTTAACAAATAGTGTGGAATCCGTTGCCTAACCATTGTCCATAATTATGATTCTTCAAAGTCTACTACAGTTGATAACTTCATTGTCAAACCATCAATTTGGCTATAGAATGATAATAGAGCAAATATCGATCCACAACTTATCGTCTACATTCCATTGCTGAACCATTATCAGGATATGATTGGTTGCATTTATAAGTTGTTATAACTTTTCTAGGAACACTACCGAACCATGAATTTGATCGAAATTTGGATACCTTGATACAATCCTATATGTTCCTATATTGGTCACTTTAGGAATATTTCATTGGCGCAAGATCAAAGGAAATGATAATAAAGATTTTGTTAAACCTACAACTTAAAAAACATTATAAGAACGTCAAGATGGTTAGACCTTTTGGATGCCAATGCAATGCACACATACTGAGAAAAGAAGTAAAAAATCGTCATCCATAATTGGGCGGCATGATTTGCTTGGCAATTTGTTTGTTATAATTCATTGCATAAGATATCATGATCCAGAAAGAACATCTGTGATATATTGCCTGAGTATTAATAAATTCATAGATGATTGGGACACATATAGTTGAATACATCAAAATCACTGTATATTGACTACAACCAACAAATCTTTACATCATCAAACGTCAAACAGCAAATGTTCATGCAGGCAAAATAACTTGCACAATAACAACTATCATAATCTAGCAACATCGGACCTGGAATAACCAAATCTCTAAATCACCATCACCATCACCATCATACCGGGATACTAACCATGACACTCCCATAGCACGAAACGTTGACATCCACAATGACCAAATCCGATACAATAACATTTGATTCATAAATCACAAAATCGAACCTCAACTACTATCGGATTTTGCCACCCTGTGACAACAATGCACCGAGCATCACAATTTGATGATAGTTGAGGACCGATCGTGTCACCTAAGAACAGAGTTAGCAAAAACAATACTCACACAAGTCTTGTTAACATAAAACAATCCATAAATGTTTCATGTAGCTCAGTCCCAAAACAAATGCTTACATATCAGCCGAAACAATCATATAACATGACTAAAAAAACAATGCTTAATCTTTAGACAAAGTACAAACCATGAACGTTTAATGTTACTCAGCATCAACAATACAGGGAAAAACTAATTACCCCTCACATGAACATACCGACAACAAATACTCATTGTTTGGCTGAAACTGTATACTGAAAATAAAATCAGCAAACATCAGTGAGCATATAATTCATGCTAATCGATTGCAACCACAGACATAGCAAATCAATGGCCTTACCGAAGACTTAATAAAAACAACTTGGTATGGAACACGTTGGCCATTGTATAAACACGCCAACTTTTTTCCCTGTAACCTGAAAACAAAATCAACGAATTCACATTTTATGTCGGTCGATTGGCAGAAGAGACATACTGAATCAATGACTCTACCAAAAAAATAATAAACACAAATCCTCATTTCCTTGAAAACAAACATAACAAAATGTAATCGATCTTCGTGTTAAAATTGTTAAGAACAATTATCCATTCGTATAAAAAATTGGTACCTAAAAAACAGAAACAACAAAACTTAATTAATATTCATATTAAAATTATCAAGGACCACACTTACCGTTCGGAAGGAATAACACAATCAATCATTCAAATAAATTGGCCAAACAAAAACAATTATTAAATTTAACAATAACCGTTAAAATAGTTGGGAGACATACTTATAGTTTCGCAATAAAATACTTAGAAGATATACTTTCAGTTCAGAAGAATAAATCAAAATAACAACTCATTTGACAGTCTCAATTCGATGTCTTGCCTTTATTCCATGCCAATTCATGAATCTCTGACCTGTAAACAACAACAAAAACATACATGAACAAAAAACCATCGATCAAAATGCACACAAACTAAAATAACATATAAACAATTAACAAAAGACCAGACGTATTATTGACGCCAATTAACAAATTACGATGATACACAATTGAACATGAGTCCCTTTTATAACCCCTTATTTAGACCTTCTGAATACCAACGCAATTAAATACGAAGAAAGTTTTCCAATGTCAATACAATACATCAATATAATTATAGATAGCAATCCTAGACAAATGTCATTATACCACGATTAGTAATAGCAATCCAATACACCTGTATACTTGTTATTAATACACATCTTTGGAATGCCAATGCAATGCACCTGTATTATTATTTTTATTAATTATTAACACAAATCCCATTTTTTAATTAATTAATAATTATAGATGGATCAATAAATACCAATCCAACGTGTCAAGATAGAGCAATTTGATTGGCTTGTCAATCTAATTTGTCAAAATGAAGCAACTATAGAGCTTCCAAAATGTGTCATATGACGAACAACGCACATAGATATTCATGACGAATAAACCCGCATGGGTATTCATTAATCTTAAACTAAAAATATCTCATTAACCACACATCCAACGTGGCATGAGAGAGCAATTCTAGAGCTCCAAAATAAAGCAATTTTAGAGATAAAAAAGGAAAAGAAAAGAAAAAAGTGTCATAGGTGTCACTTAACAATAAGCTGACAAGTATGTCAAAAATAACAAATCAACTATCATTTTAAAGGAATTTTGTTTAAATCTATTAAAGTTGGTTAAGTGAAACAATTATTGAGATAAATTATTCCTCAAAAAACCTATATAAACCTTTTTTTCTTTCATAAAGTTATTAGAGAAATAAATAAATTAAAATTATATATATAATGTTAATGTAATGTAATGTAACACAGTTGTAGAAGAGATTATGAGAAGAGAGTGAATTAAAAACAGTTACTTGACTGACGAATTTCGCGGGCTTTTTCCCGAATCAAAAGGCAGAAAACGAGACTCTCTCAGCCTAGCATTTTTACTGTAATTCGTTCACTCATAACAGATTTAAACTACTATTCTGCAACAATCTACTTTTCACTCTTAACCTTCTCTCTTTTAACTTACCAAAATTCTTCACACCCCATCTCCCATTGCTTTCCCTTAAATTCATCTTCCCCTCCATCCACCTTTACCATTCTTCAATCGCTGGCGTGCCGTGTCGCTCCGGCGATAATCTATTCAACTAAACCAAGTGATTTTAGCTTGGCTTTTGGTAAGTTTGTTCAGACTTTTCTTGCAATTTACGAGCATTTGTTAATCTTGATTCTACAAAATGTTTTTAGAAAAAAAAAAAAAAAATGGGAATGTTTGTGGGAAGTCTTGTTAAACGTTGTTTCAGTCACTGTTATTTCTCTTTGATGCATTGGTGAGATTCTATTAGATTAACCATACAAAGCATATTGGAGAATAATATCATAGTTTCAGATTTATTATTGCTTTGTTTTTTATTTTTGTTTTTAAGGTTAATCGTGATTTTTATTCAGTGATGTTTTGAAGCATTTTCTATTTATGTTTTTGTGGGGAGAAAAAAGATGTTCTGGGAATGTTTGGTTTAGATTGTGTAATGTAGAAGAAAAAAATTTGACCCTCTGGGTCCCTAAGTTTTCCATGGGTTGGTTTAATTGTTGCCTTTTTCCATTGCATTCTACAATTTTGTGGTAACTCTTGTCAATTTTGGGTTAGAAAATTTTGTTTCAGTTAGTTCATTTAGATCCAAGCATATTGGAGAATAAGCAGATTTCGTTTTTTCTTCATTTCTGACTAGTCTATGCAGATTCACATATGTGTAGGTGATTAGGGTTGGTGTGTGATGGAGTTCAACGGTGGTTCTGCTTCGGAGGGTACAAATACTGTATCAGTTAAGACATTGAATATCTCTACGTCTCCGAAATCTCCAAGGTCACAGAAGTCCTCAAGGTCACCCAAGTCCCCGAGGTCTCCGAAGTCCCCAAGGTCTCCGAAGGCACATGGCACACATGGCGCAGGAAAGTGGAGCCCGATCAAGGGGAGTCCAAGCAAAGTGAGTAGTCCTCCCAAGTATGACCGGCGTTCAAGATCCCCCAGAGATGGGCGGCCTAAAAAAGGTAGAACTAGGAAAATGTTGTTCCTGAGTTGTATTTTGAAGTTTTGGTTCAAAACGTGTACGCCTATAATTAAGAATGAACTAGCTAGAGAACTTCCCAATTTAGAGATCATAAAACCAAAATAAAGAACAATGTTTTTTCATATATCTATAGGATTGGAATGGTATTAATAAAGATGTATTGATTCAGTTGGTTCGGTTTTGTTTTTGGAGTTTCTGGAAAGACCTCGTGCTCGTAAGGCAATGTGAAATTCTGATAAAAGAATAATCATATTACTTATTTCTTGCCTGGTGTTCTAGCTCATTCTTAATTGAATTGATGCAATTATGCAGGTGGTGCTGGGGGAAAGGGTACCTGGGGAGGATTGTTTTATACAGATGACAATTATTTTTTTGACCCGAATGATCCAAACTATGATAGCAGTGAGGTAGTCAGTTAATGGTACATCTTTCTATGTTCAGATTTCTCCATTTTCAAGGCTGTTACTATGTGTTATTGTTGTAGTTTCAAGAATTGAAGAAACTTTATTTTGGATGCAGGAATTTGAACGTGTAAATGTAAGGAGATCAGCTGTGGATTTGGATGAGTACAGAAAGAAAGCAACAGTAATTGTGGAGGAATACTTTATCACTGATGATGTTGTTTCGACGGCAAATGAATTGAGAGTGCTTGGAATGCCTAGCTATAACTACTATTTTGTAAAGAAGCTTATCTCTCTTGCTATGGATAGGCACGACAAAGAGAAAGAGATGGCTGCTATTCTATTATCTGCTCTTTATGCCGATGTCATTGATCCGCCGCAGGTTTACAAAGGATTCAGGAAATTGGTGGAAGCTGCAGATGACTTGATTGTTGATATCCCAGATACGGTTGATGTTTTAGCATTGTTCATAGCTCGAGCTGTAGTTGATGACATTCTCCCACCTGCATTTTTGAAGAAACCATTGGTTTCCTTGCCTAAGGATTCCAAAGGAGTTGAAGTGTTGAAAAGGGCTGAGAAAGGATATCTTACGGCTCCTCTTCATGCAGAAATTATAGAAAGGCGATGGGGAGGCAGCAAGACTAAGACAGTTGAGGAAGTGAAGGAGAGGATGAACAATTTGTTGATTGAGTTTGTGGTGAGTGGTGACAGAAAAGAGGCCTGCAGATGCATCAAAGAATTGAAAGTTCCATTTTTTCACCACGAAATAGTTAAACGGGCTGTTATGATGGCAATGGAGAGACGCCAAGCTGAAGCATCGTTACTAGATTTGCTGAAGGAAGCTTCTGAAGAAGGTTTGATCAATTCTAGCCAAATAACAAAAGGGTTTAACAGGATTATCGACACTGTGGATGATTTATCACTTGACATACCAAATGCTAGAGGAATATTGTATACATTGATTTCGAAGGCAGCATCCGAGGGCTGGTTGTGTGCTTCATCTTTGAAATCACTCTCATTGCAGCCAGGAAAGAGGTCGCTAGAAGATAGTGCTTGTAAAATCTTTAAAAATAAGGCTCAATCAATCATTCAAGAGTATTTCTTGTCTGGTGACATTTTAGAGGTACGAAGTTGTCTAGATTCAGAGAACAGCAGTTCTTCTGATGAACTGAATGCTATCTTCGTCAAGAGGCTAATAACTCTTGCCATGGATCGAAAGAATAGAGAAAAGGAAATGGCTTCTGTTCTGTTGTCATCTTTATCTTTCCCTGCTGATGATGTTGTCAGTGGATTTCTAATGTTGCTAGAATCAGCAGATGACACTGCTCTCGACAACCCAGTTGTTGTCGACGACCTCGCAATGTTCTTGGCTAGAGCAGTGGTGGACGAAGTCCTGGCACCCCTACACTTGGAAGAGATTGCAAGCCAGTTTTTGGGGCGAGAATCAATCGGGAGCAAAGTGCTGCAAATGGCAAAATCATTGCTGAAGGCTAGACTTTCCGGGGAGCGGATACTAAGGTGCTGGGGTGGTGGGGGCAGCAGCAGGCCAGGTTGGGCAGTTGAGGACGTCAAAGACAAGATAGGAAAGCTGCTAGAGGAATATGAGTCCGGAGGAGATGTACGGGAAGCTTTCCGGTGCATAAAGGAGTTAGGCATGCCATTTTTTCACCATGAGATTGTTAAGAAAGCATTGGTGAGTGTCATTGAGAAGAAGAATGAAAGGCTCTGGGGCTTGCTCAAGGAGTGTTTCGGGTCAGGACTCATAACCATGAATCAAATGACGAAAGGTTTTGAGAGAGTGGAAGAATCTCTCGATGACTTAGCCTTGGATGTGCCTGATGCTAGGAAGAAATTCATACATTATGTTGAAAGAGCGAAAGCTGAAGGCTGGTTGGAATCCTCATTTTCTGTCACCAAACTGGAACATAAACAAGAGAATGGATATTGTTAAAACCAATTGGTAAATTCTGCAGTCTGCAGAATTATAAGCTTGGTCACAAACTTGTTACTAGCATTTGGCGACGACGGAGTATGTACGGTATCGTATGAGTATCATAGAATGAGTTTATATTAATATATTTTTGGTGGAGTCTAAATAATCCAGCCGCAAGTGTTGGATGAATGTAGGAGCTACTTGTAGAGCTTTGTTATTTCTTGTAGGTTATGTATGTATTTTTGAGAAAGTAATTAAATATGCAGTGGAACCTGAAATATGTTTTGTAAATGGTCTTACTATTCAAGATCATTGCATAAATAATAGAAAAATGTTGATGTAGACTGGATAAATCTTAGATTCATACTGTTTTTTTTTTTTTTCTTTAAATTAAGATGATAAAATTTAATATCCCTCAAATTATTTTATTGTTCAACCTCTTTTGTATGCCAAATCATATAATAACCTCTTGTGTATGCCAAATCATATAATAACAACAACGTTTACAATGCAATATACAAATATTTTGATTTTAATTTCACTGAACTATTGATTAATTAGTAGATTTTAACATTTATAAATTTAAATAGAAAAGGAGTAAAATTAATATCTAAGACGACATATATCTACTGGTGAACATGGGTAGTGGGTAGAACCGGAACCTACCCGGAATCGATATTGTGTGGGTAGGTTTTGGTTCCTACATGTGTCGGAACTGAAACTTGGGATGAGAATCAGAAGCAGGTACCTGGTATAGAACCTGTTTGGAACCGAGGGTGGGTACCCGAGATGAAACCTGTCTTGGAACCTAGGTCAGGTATCCAATATGGAACCTGTATTGCAATTGGGATTGAAACAAAATGTCTGTAAAGAGTGGAGGGTCCATTGTAATTTTATATAAAAAAAAACATTAAAATGGAACTGACACATGTTGTGATGTCATATAAAAAATTTTATGTAACAATAACCTCATTAAGATTTAAGTATATATACAATTTACATATATACTTCTCTCTCTCTCTCTCTCTCTCTCTCTCTCTCTCTCTCTCTCTCTCTTATATATATAATTATATATAATATTATATATATTAACATTTTACATATAATTTTTTTAATATATTATAATATTAAAATTTGATTAATTAAGTGTATAATTGAAATTATGATCAATTACAAGTGTTTTAATGTTATTAAAAAAAAAAATTTTTGAATAAAATAATATATTTGATTGAATAATATTTAGTTATACTTCAATTATCAAATTCTAAGCATATCTATAATAAATTAGTAATTAATTAATTATCTGATAAATTGAAAATATTAGTACATTACTAGTTAAATGATTACTAATTATTATAACATACATTATAAACATTAGTAATTACTACATTATTACATTACTTATTTAAATTATAGAAATTTAATTAATATAATATTACATTATAAACATTATTAATTTACCACATTATACATTATTTAATTATGATTAGAAATTTAATTAATTATAACATTACATTATAAACATTAGTAATTTCTTAATTAAATAATTAGAAATTTAATTAATTATAATATTATATTATAGATTTATAATATGATTACTTAATTAATTATAACATCACATTATAGTTAAACAATTACTTAGTTAATTATAACATTACATTATAAACATTAATAGCTTATTACATTAGTTCATTACTTAATTAAATGATTAAAAATTTAATTAATTATAACATTACATTATAAACATTAGTAATTTCTTAATTAAATAATTAGAAATTTAATTAATTATAATATTATATTATAGATTTATAATATGATTACTTAATTAATTATAACATCACATTATAGTTAAATGATTACTTAGTTAATTATAACATTACATTATAAACATTAGTAACTTATTACATTAGTACATTACTTAATTAAATGATTAGAAATTTAATTAATTATAACATTATTACAGATTTATAGTATGATTACTTAATTAATTATAACATTACATTACAAACATTACTAATTTACTACATTAGCATATTACTTAATTAAATGATTAGAAATTTAATTAAAATCATAACATTACATTATAGATTTATAATATGATTACTTAATTAATTAAATTTTATATGAATTGCGATGAATTGATTGAATTCAAGTGTTGCTTAGAGATTATAGGATCTATGAGTTACATTTGACACAAATGAATGTGTAATCAAAAGTTAAAAACTACTAAATGCATGTTTTCTTAATTTGTTAGGGGTGTATTTGTAAACTTTTTATGGTGTTTCTGTCATTTTTTAAAATAATAGCAAGTAATTAATTTTTTATAGGGTACACAGGTAAGGAATCGGAACCTTTCCGATTCCTTTTGCTAGGAACCAACAGGTTCTGATTCCCCTAAAGATTACAGGGTACCCAGAATTGCTCACCCAATTTATTATATCCAAATGGGACATGGGTCACTGACTAGAGACTTCATGATGAGGCTCAAATCCTTTTGAAAAAGCGTCGTCCAAGAGTAGGATTCATTTGAATCCGTTAATTCTTTTTGTAAAAGTCATAAATAGCTAAATTTATTAAAATTATATTTTTATAATGAATAATAATAAAGGTATAAACTCTTTTATATAAATTGATGTGTCGTGAAGTGAATGGATAAATGCAATGTTCTAAAACCCGACCTGGGGTGTCACTCGGCCAAAGGGTTGGATACTAGGTTGACCGGTTAAACCAATTAAACTGGCGGTCTAATCCGTGATCCAACAAGTTTAAAATCTAGCAAACACACCCCTAATAAATACTATCGTCCTTGTAGGTTTGAAATCCAGTAAACACAACCCTACGAAAAATAGGTTTTTGCTTTTCTCGGCCAAATTTTGGTTGATTTATGTGGCTAAAATTTAATCTGATACCACCACTTGAACTACTGGCCTCCACTCTACAAAATCCTTATAACCCTGACATTTGGTAGCCCCTAGTTCGCTGGCGATCAAATTAGGGATTTTAGAAATAGTTGAAAATGATAACCTAGCCTAAAGAAGGCCACGGGTCCCGGTCTAACCGGTTAAACTAGTCTGGGTTGGGCTGAGTTTCAAAAGATAGGATAAAGGCATGTAAAAATTCAACTCATTAATTACTTAATAAATATAAACGAATGACATGTCAGTGGAAGAGTGATATCACATTAGTTTGTATACATTAGTTTGTACATGGAACATTAATTTGTTGAAATATATTATATTTAAGTTGAATATGGGTGATGCGTGAGTAATTGTTTTTGGTCTTTTTTATTTTCTTTGATTTTATGTATTACCAAATTAGGTTGATCTTCATGAATATGCATAATTATGGAATGGATTATTTTCCATGGACATGAAAATGTAGCTTTCTAAAAGGTAGTGGAATGGTTTTAGAGAGCTAATGTTTAGGGAGGGATAATTTTGGAATATTTTATATTATATATATAAATTAATTTTTTTAAAGTAAATTTAATTGTTAATGGGACTAAGAAAGTGATTTTGTGGGGCTTAAAAGTAATTTGTTACATTTTTAGTAAAATTTGAAGGAAAAAACAAAAAAAAAAAAAAAAAAAAAGACCTTTAAGTTATACTATAATCAATAAACTTTTTGAGAATCTTAATAAAACTTTAGGTTAGAAGCAAAAATTCTAAAATTAAGGATTTCAGATTTAGTAATAACTATACATGAATTTTTTTTAATATATAAATTTACAGTTTCTATTAGTAAGATTATTACAAACACATTTTAACCAATACTTGCTAAGTGGAAATTAATTGTAATTATAATTAACATGCTAATAAGATTGAAATTATTTTTTTTCTAGTTCAATTTTTTTTCTTCTTATATACAATTCAAAAATAAATAATCCTTTTACATAATCAAAACTATTATATTGAGATAATGGATGAATAATTTTTTTTTAGAAATTAAAAAAAAAAAAAAATAGGGTTAAAAACATGGATTTTCTAAGGTTGGATTAAATAACAAAAAAATCTTCATCAGATTTTTAAAATAACAAAAATCCTCCTGTTGTTAGTAAACTATTAGTGAGCTTCTAGGAATCATATTATTTATGAGTTAATGAATATTTACATAGTTGTCCTCTAACCGTTTATTTTAACACTTAAAACTTATTGGGAATAAGATATTTGTTATTCAACCAAATCTTAGAGGGATTTTTGTGCTTTAAGTACAAATTTTGAATAATATGCAAAAGAGGGAAAAAAACCTTTTTCATCAATGAGTTTAATTACACCCATAATGTTTTCGAAAGTGACAAATACACCAATCTTATATCTTGTGTGTGAGAAAATTAACTTTTGGAGAGAATCTTTAGTTAAAATACTGTTTTTACCTTTACCTTTTATACATAACTTTTGCTACAGTTGACTTGATAATTTCATTTAATTTGTCTAAATAAAAATTAAAGGTAAAAATATTGGGTATATTTGTTACTTTCTGGAAAATCTTTGAGTTTATGGTAACTTAACCCAAACCTCAATGGCAATAACGTTATTATCTCAATACAAGTGCAAGAAATTGTTGTGTGGACATTGAGCAACTTTACTATGTTTACCTTTTTTCCTTTAATTTTTTTTTAATTTAAATTTTAACTAAATTGAACAAACATTACAAATGATTTGCACATTGTTCATTCAAGATCATATATGTATTAAAGAGAATGTGTTAGAAGTTAAGGCCCAATATTTAATGATTTCCATTTAGAGTAGGAATTATTTATGACATCATAATCAATAACACAATTAAAAATCTCACAAATATATTATATTAATACGAGCTCTTTATATATATATAAGGCCGAAGTAACATACCTAATGATATATAAAAGGAGATGCTAAATCTAACTACTTATTTCAATAATATTATTCATATTTCCTAACCGCAACTTATGCAAATAAGTAGCATAATACATTATGCAAATAAATAGCATAATACATGTTCTCACTTTGAGTTTGAACCTATTTTAGGAGGAGATCAGTTTCCAATTGGGCTTCAACTAGGCACTTTGTGATTTGGATGAATATTTTGATGCGGCGGATGAGAATTTCCAATTGGGCTTGGACCACTTGGCACTTTGTGATTAGGATGAATGTGTCGATGAGGAGGATGAGAATTTCCAATTGGGCTTGGACCACTTGAAACTTTGTGATTAGGATGAATGTGTCAATGCGGAGGATGAGAATTTCCAATTGGGCTTGGACCACTTGAAACTTTGTGATTAGGATGAATGTATTGATGCAGAGGATG